TCGACAAAAAGGACAAGGTAATCTGCTTGCATTTTGTCTGCTTTCTAGAAGAAAATAAAATCCAGTCTGGAAGATAACAGTATCTAGGAATATTTTTCATAAATAATGTCAAGAATTTAATTTTAAAAATTATCAGACATTCTAGGAAATAAAACCAAGTGAGGAAAAATCAAGGGAACAAACAGATAATGGAAATAGATCCATAGGTGATCCAGATAATAGAGTTAATCAGACACGATTTTTGAATCTGCCTTATAAAAAGAGGATAATAAATTACAAGTAGGGCCTGTTCCAGGGATGTGAGTTTGGTTTAACATCTGAAAGCCTTTAAATGCAATATACCACATTAACACTAGCAAGGAGAAAAATCATATCATTATCTCCAAAAACTCAGGAAAATTTTTTGATAAAATTTTACACTAATTTCTAATTTTAAAGAAACCTCTTTAGGAATAGAGAAGAATTTCCTTAATCTAATAAAGAGTATCTACAAGAATGTTTATAGAAAACATCATCCTTGATGGTAAATTATTAAATCTTCCCTCCTCCAATCTGAGGTTAGAAATCTGACAGAAATCTGAATGGAATTCAACATTGTACTGGATGTCCAGCTAGCACAACAAAACAAGAAAAAAACTATAAGAAATACAAAGGAAGAAATAAGACTGATACTTATAAATGACATGATTATCCCATATAATAAAAGCTTAATATGCTAAGTGTCCAACCCTTCATTCAACCATTTGACCAGTTGCTATAACACGCACTGACCACCAGGGGGCAGATGCTCCAACCAGTAGGTTAGCTTGTTGCTGGGGTCCAGCTGATGGGGACTGGACGAGATGGGCCAGACACACCTTAGACAAGGGGTGGGCAAACTTTTTGACTCGAGCAAACGGGCCGGATCCGGCCAGTGGGCTGTAGTTTGCCCACGGCTGCCTTAGACCCTTCTGCAATCCCTCCCTGGCCCTGATCATGTATCGGTGGGGTCCCTTGGCCTGGCATGCACCCTCTTGCAATCTGGGACCCCTTTGGGGGATGCCAGAGAGCTGGTTTCGGCCCGATCCCCACAGGCCAGGCTGAGGGACCCTACCAGTGCACAGATCCGTGCACCGGGCCTCTAGTATTTATAGAGTTTCCAAACTATTGCTCAGGAAAATTATTAGAATTTATATGTGAATTTTCAAGGTTGCTGAATAAAAGAACAATATACAAATTCAATTGTATTTTTAAATGTGAGCAAAAAACAATTAGACAGTGAAATTTTAAAAAGCTAATAATACCATTTATAATATCATATAAAACTTACAGACCTGGAGTAATTCTAATAAAAAATATTCAAGAAACAAAACCACCAAATATGGATAAGTTAAAGACAACCTAAGTAAATACAATATTATTGGATTGGAATACTCAATATTGGTAAGAGTTAATTTCTCCCAAATTGATGGGCTTCTGAAATTCCAATCAGAAACCCATCAATTTTATTTTGTAGAAATTGAAATGCCTATTTTACAATTTATATGGGAATGCAAAGGTCTATAAATAGCCAAGAAAATCTCAAGAAATAAAATTGTAGAACTTACACACCAGACATCAAGCCTTCTTTAAAAACTAAAAGTACAGCATTGGTGGAAGAAGAGAAAAATTAACAAATGGAACAGAATAAAGATCCCAGAAATAGACCCACACATATGTGATCACCTGATTCAGGACAAAGATACCACTGAAATAAACTGAAAACAAAATGTATTTTCAATAAGTACTACTAGACCAATTAGATTATTCTATTCTTACACAGCTGGTATATCTAATCAACTTCAATAGCTCAAATATCTGCTACTGTAGTTTAGTTCATTCTGCTGAGCTAAGCACTTCCATATCCCTTTGCCTCCTGGGCATCCCTACCACGACTCAAACATGTCCAAACCAGACCTTATCTCCATTCCTCTTCCTGACTTATTCTTGTGGTGCTTAGCTCTGTGAGTAGTTTAGAGAAGCATATCAATCTAACCATTCTGAGAAAATGTGTATTGGTCCTTTGACAGTTATTTTCTCTCCTTGGACAATTATATTCTATCTGCAAAATAGGTCAGAATTGGTGAATTTTGTCAAATATTTAGTTTAAGCAATAACTCAGTCTGGTCTTTTTTCAGGACCCTGGGCTGGCTCTGGGGTGTCCTAAGGAAATCTTTCTCAGTTTGAAAACCAACTCTCTAGCAGCACTGCCTTGTTTCCTAGATTCAGAGATGAATTTCTTCACTTCCCAAGGATTCTGAAACTAGGATAAAACATACAGGGCTAGCAAAGTAGGTTTACAGTTGTTCGCATGGAAAATAAAACAATAATTAATAAATAGTAATGGAAGAATCAACTCTGTGTTTCACATACTCACAACTGTAAACTCCTTTTGCCCCACCCTGTAGGAACCAAAGTTAAAAAAAGTATATATATAAAAAAAACCACTTTGCCTATTTGCAAACAGAGGAGTAAACTGTGATACTGCTTATACCAGGAATAATGAATTTTAAACTTGGTAATTATTTCTTCTTTAAATGCACCATCGATAGAGCATGAAAAGTTATCAGCCCTAACCAGCTTGGCTCAGTGGATAAAGCATCGGCCCAAGGACTGAAGGGTCCCAGGTTTGATTCCAGTCAAGGGCAGATACCTTGGTTGCAGGCTCGATCCTCAGCCACAGTTTGGGCGTGTGTGGGAGGCAGCGGATCGATCAATCGATGTGTCTCTCTCACATCGATGTTTCTCTCTCTCTCTGTCTCTCCCCCCACACCTACAACTCTGTTTAAAAATCAATGGAAAAATATCCTCGGGTGAGGAGTAACACACAAAAAAACAAAACAAAAAAAAAGGAAAGAAAAGTTATCATATACACAAAAAATAGACTATCACTGCTAAGCACAGCAATCACCAAAACAAATGGAACAGAACATGGTATTTCAAAACTAGCAGAGGCAAATGCGGCCAATTCATGGACCAATAGGACCCTCTTTCAGACACTGAACGTGCTCCTCTGTTAAAATTTCTGGCTGGCTCTCAGGAGATGCTCTTTGACTTCTAAGTACACAAAACCAATTAAAACCAGTAAACATATGTCTTTTAGCCAAATAAGAAATGTACACCAACGTGATATTTTTTTAAAGGCCTCAGAATTGCCCTATGAATCTAAAGGTGCCAGAGAAGTAAAGATCATGGTACATCTTATGACAAGCAACATGCTACCATGATGCTACTGTATATGAGTAGGAAAGGTCAACATTATTCAGAGTATCTAGGTATGAAGTCAGCTTATTGTGTGTGAGATGCAGAAGACAGTGGTGAAGTAAATGGACAAATGTATAATACTGTGAATAAGTACAAATACTTCTGTATACATTTATTCTAGTCTTCCTTCCCCTTCATTCCCCTCCTCTAGAAAAGCTGCTAATAGATCAATGCTTGGTCAATAGACCAACAAAGGTTTGCAAAGGTTTTCCATAGGAAGGCCTTGAAAGTCAATGTACCAGGGCCTGAATTCTAAGACACATTTTCACCTCCAAGAGAACTGTCTCAGTTGCTATCCAAACAGAAGCATCCTTGGATGTTCCCATCAAGCCAAGGAGATGGAGATGTGGAGCATGCCCGTAGGAGACTGCTTACCGCTTTCTGGCATTTTACCTTTATCTTGGGACTGTCCTCACATCATCGGGCTGACTTTTGGGAAGCATAGCAGACAAGTTTAGGCATAATTTGGACTTGGCAAAATTCCTATGTACCACGTTTCATTCTCTAATAGGTAATATGCCTGTCCTGCTTAACTGATGGGCTCATGGTTAAATCCTAATGAGGGAATATATGAGAAGGTCTTTTCCAAACTCTCACTACTATGTAAATGCCAATTTTTACCAGTGTCATCATAAAAACATAATGATTTATAACACCAGATGTTAACACCAAACTCATCTTAAAATCTTAAAGTGTAAACTCCACACCATAGCACAGGGCACATTTACAAAACCAAGTACAAAGGCACCCTGGACTCTGCTGGTTTAGCTGTCACTCTCCTGGGGGGTTAATCCCACTTTGCTCTATGGGTTGCTCAGAACTTTTCAGGACTTAGATTCCATCTCAGAGCTTATTCTCAGGTTTTGAATAAAGTATCACATATTTCCCTGTTCTTACTCAAAGTACCATCTAGTCAAGTAGTCCCTTTTTTAACTTACCTGGTCTAATGATTTCTTATCAGTCTGAGGAATATGTTTCTGTAGCGATCACAGCAATGACCCAGCTTTCAAGAATCTTCCCTGACCCTCCCTGGGTCGGGCCTCCTAGCTGCCATTTATACCAGGAGGCCCAACACAGGGCTTATTCTGCCCCAGCTGTGTATATGAGGGCATTGAAACACCTGCCTTTCTTTTTTCTTTTGCAAGGAGGCCAACTATTTTGCAACACACACACTTTTTAAAGTAAGTTAATCCATCAAATACTACAAATTTCACTGGAACACAGATTAGACAAATAAGTTTATTTACAAGCCTGGAGAATTGTTTTCGGCCAAGACACCCCAGTCATAGGCTTAACTCTGAGGCCCCTGCAAGAACATGAGGGGACAGCAGGAGGCCTGGCCCCTGGCCCACCCACAAGAAAAGAAAATATCCTACTGGCCAACCAGAACCCTTCAAAAGCATGAAATTCTTTCAATTTCCCCAGTATCTTCCCTTTTCCTATACATAAAAATTAAACATGCCCAGTCACGAAATATCTCCATCCTAGAAGGCGGAGAAACTGCAACTCCACTTTGACAGAGTCATCAAAGGTTGGGGCAGTTGGGGATTTTGTTTTCCAAACTCACTGCTGGCCCCGAGGAGGTATGACACCACCATCTGAAGCACAAGGCAGCTGCTCATTTTTGGCTGAAGTTCAATATAAACCTTACAAATGGTCTGCTAGCTCTCTTTTTAAAAATAATAATTAAAAAAGAATTTTATAGTCACAAAACCCACAATCTTAGTGTTTTCACTATAAAGCTTTTCCTGGAGGCCAGAGAAAGCCATGTATTCTGACAAAGTTCTGAGCCAAAAAGGTACCAGGAGGTTATTTCCACCAGAAAAATATAACGGGACAGATAATGAGGCAGGTTGAAAATCAATGGCTCAAGCAGTTCCAAAGACTCTCTGAATACCAATTCTCCCTGAAGTATCAAAAGATGAAAATCTAGCAACAATTAGTTTACTTTTCAAAAGTGGCCCTTAGCAGTTAAGTCATCGAGTATGCTTTTATTTAGGAGTGAAAACAAGACATCAACAAACTTCCCATTCATTCTGAAATTTTGGTTACTTATAAAGAGGCCATAATGACTATATTTTACTTATTATTTAACCATTCCAGCAACAAGTCACATACAACCATCAGCGTGTATGTTCAGCACCATGATGGTCCTCCAAACCTGGCAAGTGTCCTTCCTTCTTCCTTATTTATTTCCCTCCTTAGAGATTTGAATATGCATTAGGGCCAAATGTTGAATGGTGTTCTCAAAACTAAAATAAACCTTTTATGGGACAAGTTAACATTTATTATTATTTTGGTGTGCATATTTGTGACAGATCCACACACAGACTTACAATTTCAGGATAAATTAAAGTCTTTTCCTAAATCTTTAGACATTCTTAGGAAGTCAATAGACCTCCAAGAACTGGAGCAAGAATGTGCACTTGGTTTATAAAGCCAAAGCTAGCAAGTCCCTCACACAGCCTGTAAGTGTGGGATTCCCTACCCATCTGCATTCTCTTCCTTCCACTTTTATCTTCGTATCTGATTCGCTGGTCCCATCTCATGCACACTGAAAAGTCTACAGCATCGCTAATCTACTGTGCACCAGCACTCCACCCTCCCCAAACTACTAAACTGACCCCTAAATAGGAAGCAAAATTCAAGGTCGTTGGCTTGTTTTCTGTGTGCTATAGGTTTGAACTAACTGCTGTAATACTTCTCTCTTCAGCCCTTCCTCTAAATATCACTCCATGGAAGTTTTTTTTTTTTTAATTGCTAGGAAGGCCCATGAATGTATTTGTAGTTATTTTATAAAATGACTTGGCTTCCCTTCAGAAAATCAGAATAATGCAGACACAGGGGAAAACAAGTCCATTGTTCCCTGTATCCAAATGATAAATACATTTCACTCACACATACACACACACACACACTCATTTACTCAAGGACATATCATACATATGTACAATATATGTGTATGCACAAATATGTAGCCTTTTTTTTCACTTGAATTAGTATCATTTATAAGCATCCTTACATAATTTTCACGTGTGAATTTATTTTAACCATCCTCCCTCATCATTAAAAGTAGGGTCTAAACAACAGTGGGAAACATTTTATCCCCAATAAGTCACATGTTTTCCGATCACAAGGGATGCTTAGTAAATACAGTGGCTTACTTGAGAAAGGAAAACCATTTGGAAAGTCTTCAACTTACAGCAAAAAATCTTCCTGCTCCGCCTCACCCTCAGGAATCTGGGATAAGTTGAACTTGAACTCTTTGTGGTGTCGCTGGCGAGGGGAGAACTCCTTGTCGTACTCCACTATAAGATTAAACAAGAGAGAGTGACAACTATTGTTACTTGACTAGGTGCCACAGGCCCAGCTCAAAAGAAACTCTCCCATTTTAATTCATAAGTGGATTACAGGTTACCAATGGCTCATAGAGGATTGGGGTGATGGAGAGAACATTGGCTAGGCTGTCAGGCAGACTGGGATTAAAATCCTCCATTTTACCCAAGGATTAAATAAAATGCTTACATTTTCTTTCATTTAAATACTTTAAATACTTAGTCTCACTAAGTTGCATGAAAGCAAGTTATTTAAACTCTTGGCTTCTACACAGGGAAGTTGTGAGAATTAAGAAAACAATAACACATCAGGTGATCCTGGCCCTGATCCCCGCTCACCACCCACACTCCACCTTCCTGCGGCTCTGCCCCTCAGACCATCAGCAGTGGACAGGACAGGGGTAGTCCTGAGCCCGCCTTTGGTATCAATCGTGCTGTGGGGAGGACAGTGAGCAACGCATTTGCCTAGGCCTGAAGCTCCACGTGTCCTCAAGTTGTGCCTGCTGCTCAGTGGAAGTTTTTGTTGAAGGGTTTAGGGTAAAGCTTCATGGAAAATGCTGCTCTGATAACGTTCACTGCCCTCCCTGTGCAGGTGGGCCCTGCGCGCTGTGAACGGCTGGAGTCTCCATTTGACCTGCACATAGAACCAAAGTATGAAAACAAAGATGAAAACTAATGGGCAACTTGCTATTTTCCAATGCTGTTTCTTACATTGAGAAAGGATGGAGTCTAAAACCTGTTTGTGTGTTTTTTTTTAATGAAATCTTTTCCCTGCTTGAAGAGAAGCCAAATTATGAAAAACTGCAACTACTAATTATCATTTTCAGCTTTCAGATGTCTGAGTGGAGTCTGTGTGAGAGAAATGGTATCAGCCTCAGATGCTGAACCCATGATCCTTATAAAGAAAAATGGAGCGTCCCCCTTTACCCCCCGTGAACCCTTGCTCTCTCCCCAGAGTTCAGAAACCGTCTGCCCTGCTGTTCCTGTGAGTTCTTTTCTGAATGGCAACACAGTAAAATCTCATGAGCAAAGTAATCCTTTATGACAAGGTTTTCCCAAGGGCTTGTGGGTAGAAAAAAAAATCAAATTATTTGCCCCCTCTGACTGCCCACTTTCTCCCATGTGTGTTGTTCTCCATAATTACCAGAGAAAAGCTTTGGAGATTTAGCTTCTTTAAAAAAAAAAGCTAATAACTCTTTATAAGAACCTAAGACCTTGATGGCATTTGCAGAAGCTAAGGAAAGGTAAGCCATCTGTAGGTATGAGTTTTTAAATAAAGAATTTTTGAAATTGCCCTGTGACTATGCAACAAATCCTTTAGATTCAAGTTCTCTCTCTTTTTTATTTAATTTTTGGGGTTAATAAAAGGACAAGCTTTGGCTTATGTAACAGCTTGAATATAAGTAAAAAAAAGGTCTAACCAGAAAGTAAACCATAGTTTAGTCCCAACAAGAGAGCAGGTTTTCTAATTAGTGGCTAAGCATGAAAAGCAATATTGTTGGGGAGTTCACCCGAGGCCACCCACACATGACGGTGTATCACTTTCCCCTAAAACTGATCTGCCTTTTAAGTTTGATATGTTATCATCAGTGGTTAAAAAGGGAATCGAATCTGATTTCCCAAAGAGACTTTCTAAAAAATAGTCGCACAGCTTTTCTAAGGGCCTTTTGGGTGCTTAAATTTTAATGTCACTAAATGAAAAAATATTTTTAAGATTCACTTGAAAGAGAATGCTTAAGAATTTCTAAAAGAAGTCTTTCAATTGCTCTTAATATAAACAATTAGAAAGAAAAATATAGATAGTAAAGAAAGATAGAAGATAGTAATAAGATATTTCAGTTAAGGAGGAGAGAAAGGGACGGAAATGTCAATAAATGAGGAATGTGGTAGCTAGTCTTTGGAGAGATGCACCACCTCCCTGTATTCATACCCTTGGGTGGTCTCCCTGCTCTGGGCTGGCCCTGTGACCATCTTTGGACCAACAAAATGCAGCAATGGTGGTGCTGAGTGACTTTCTATGCTAGGATGTAAGTTTTAAACTTTCTTCCATTTATGTTTCTTGGAATCCTTGAGTGAGGAGAGATAGCCACAATGTACAAAGTCCAGCTACCCTGGAACTTCCATGCTGTGAGGAAACCCAAGTTAACCATGTAGAGAAACTGTGGTGCATGGAGAGATAAAGGAAAGGGGAGAGGGGAGGGAGGGAAGAGCCCAGTCAGTCTAGAAAGCCTTAGCTGAGGCACCAGACATGTGGTAAAGGTGCCATCTGAGAGGTCCAATCCAGTGGAACCTTTGGATGATTCATACCCCAGCCACCATCTGACTACAACTGCATGAGAGACCTCGAGAGAGAACCACCCAGTCGAACTTAGTCATTTCATAAGACTGTGATAATAAAGCATTATTGTTTTATGCCACTTTGTCTTGGGTAACTTGTTATACAAGAAGGAAGGGAGGACAGGAAAGAATAAGACAGGAAGATCAAGAGAAAAGGGAAACCTGACCTTGCTAGGAAAGAGAGAAATTGCATGATATTCTTAAGGATAAGGATTTCAAAGTGCTGGGAGTCAACATCAACATATGTAAAAGCCTAAGCGACTTGTCAACCAGTAGCTATGATGCACACTGACCACCAGGGGCAGACGTTCAACACAGGAGCTGCCCCCTGGTAGTCAGTGCACTCCCACAGCGGGAGTGCTGCTCAGCTGACCAACAGGCACCAGACACCAGGCTCACAGCTGGCGAGAGCAGCTGCTGCGATGCAAGCCTCTCCCGCCTCCACAGCAGCACTACCGAGTGGCAGTAAAGGCAGGCACTGCAGGGCTGAGAGGAGATGAGCGGCAGCTGCGCAGCACTGCCTGGGCTTGGGTTCCTCCCTAGCTTTATGTACTACTACATCCCCTGAGGGGCCCCGGATTGTGAGAGGGCGCAGGCCAGGCTGAGGGACCCCACTGGTGCACAAATTCATGCACCAGGCCTCTTGCGCAGCGGTTCTCAATCTGTGGGTCGCGACCCCTTTGGCAGTCGAACGACCCTTTCACAGGGGTCGCCTAAGACCATCCTGCATAACAGATATTTACATTACGATTCATAACAGTAGCAACATTACAGTTATGAAGTAGCAACGAAAATAATTTTATGGTTGGGTCACAACATGAGGAGCTGTATTTAAAGGGCCAGAAGGTTGAGAACCACTGCTCTAGTGTATGAATAAGAAGGAATCCTGGCAAATGCTTACAGACACATGTGAAGGGAGCGATAAAGAATCTAAAAATGAGAAAACAGAAGAATAGTAGTTCAAAGCCTTCATTTTATTATAATGTGAATTAGAACTCATTGCCTTATATGTGCATATTCTCATTTCTCCTCTACCAAGACATTATCTTGAAGCACTCCGAACTTCTTCTGCTTTTTCTTTATCCTCCTCTGCCCCATGAGTCTCTGGTTGCTATCCATCTGCTTTTACTCGTAAGTTCTTTCACCCAAACCCTTCACTCTGCTGTTTTCTGATCCCTCTCCTCTCCTCATGCCTTTTAACTAAAAGTAGGACCACCTTCCTCACTCTCCCCAAAGAATCTCAGCCACCAGTCACTGGAGTTTGCTTGAAATTCCTGTTTTCTCCCCCAATTTTTTGCCTCCAATTGAATTTACTTAATGCATTTTGTTAATGTCTCATAGATATACAAAAAACTAAGCACAATTACCATATTTTCCGGCGTATAAGACGATTTTTTGGCCCTGAAAAATATGCCTCCAAGTGGGGGGTCGTCTTATACGCCAGGTACACTTCAGATAGACTGCCCATAGTGCTTGCCCCGTGCCATAGTGGCCTCCCGATGCCCGCCCACTTCATTCCACATACCGTTCAGGCATCAGCAGCGCTGCTGGGTGTATGCTCGGCTGTTATGCGATTTT